CACTGTGTGGGCAGAATGCACAGTTACTTAGCTGTTAAACGAAGTGTTTGGTATATGTAGTCACCAGTGTGCCATAGCCCCTGAAGCCCGAAATTAATCGAAATGAATGGTAGACATCTTTCCATACAGCTGTTGAGTATGTCTTCCGGATGAAACGTCACGCAGTCCGTTTGAAAGTCGGTCTGCTTAGCTTATACTTCGGCCCTGGCAAATGAAGGCGACGTAACAGCGTTATAAAGTTCTCATAANAGTCCGCTTCGCGCAGGTTCCTGCGAGGCTTATACTTCGACCCTGGCAAATGAAGGCGACGTAACAGCGTTATAAAGTTCTCATAACCACCGGTGTGAGAACATCGCATCCTAATATGAAACACATTCAGAAATCCATTTCCTACCACACAGAAACAAACCGCTTCGCCATTACAAATAAAAACCAGTTGATGCTGATTAGAGAAATAATCGCAGTTTCTTGTATCACAGTGTCACGTTGTATGTGTGTGACTGCCGACGGGGTTTGGATTGCTGACTAGGTTTATTGACCACTTACAGGTTGTAACTACAAATAACTATAATACTATAGCAATTTCCACACTTTATACGAGTCACTACACGATAAGTCTTCTGCAGCCTTCAATGTCTTCACTAGACGTTTCGTGGTAACGGCCTCTAACACTGGAGATTCTTCTTAACTTCTCTCTTCACAGACTTCGCTTACAGAGTTGAGTTGGTTCCCCAGTTGTCTTCAAGGTAACTCCTCAGCAGGAACCACGTATAAACACTTCGTTTCCAACGGTACCTTTGTTGCGCGTCGATTCGTTGCTGCGGGAACGTGCTTACCGAGTCGTTGCCTAGTAACGGCTTTGGTATATTCGCCTGTCTCGCGGTCGTCGTATAGTAACGGCTCTGCACGCTACAATACGAAACGCATAAATACACTGTGGGGAGAAAGCAGAATTTCTAAATGTTAAAGTGGATAGTACGAAGCGTCAGTCCCCCAGCGGTGTGCTTCTTGTCCGGAGCGCTTGTGTAGTTCACAAGCCATTTTCACGCCCGGATTGTGACATCCATTGATTTTGTAACGTGAAGGTCAAGTGGTGTTGAACGTGTCTGTACTTCTTGACGTGCCTGTACCCTTGCAGATATTCTGACAGCGATGATGTCAGCGTCTGAGTGTGGACATATCTTGTTTTTCACTCCATGAGCATCACAGCTCATTAGCATAACACGACTTTCCTTATTAAGGCATGATTTGTGGGCTACCTTGTCTGCCCTGACCTATTTCTAAATGGACTCGCCGAGCGAGTGGCCCAGGCGAGAATGTTTGTAATCTGTATTTTGGAAGTGTCCGATTCGAATTCCTGTTTCCCCGTAACAGACCTTGGAGGCTCATAAGGATATGAGACGTCGAGGTTCCCACATTTTCTAGACAGTCGACTCACAGATGGCTTTGAGGTTGTCAGCCTTACGCCCCGGCCCAGGAAGTTATCCTGGTACTCACTTCTGTTAGAAGCTGAGTCGACCCCAGGGCCACAGTGCGGCTGGTAGGATAGGTCAATTGAAAAATTCATTCACCTCATCGGGATTCGATCCCACAACCTTTGGGCTTGTAGCATAGTGCCTCAACCAACCACGCTACTGCGAGCGTAGTCGGTATAGCGACTGGCTACGGGCTGGACGACCGAGAGGTCAGAGAGTTTAGTCCCGGTAGGGTCAAGAATTTTCTCTTCTCCACGTCGTCCAGATCGGCTCTGGGGCCCACCCAGCCTCCTATCCAATGGGTACCGAGGGTAAAACGGCAGGGGCGTGAAGGTCCGTACCTCATGGGAAACACATTACGTCACCACTACAAAGCCCAACCGGTTAATGCTGTTTAGAGAAACAGTCGATGTTTGTTGTGAGAACCACACGGAACACACAAATAATATAGAGATTCAGTCCATACCTCACAGGAAACACATTACATCTCCGCTACAAAGCCCAACCGGTTTATGCTGTTTAGGGAAACAGTCGCTGTTCATTGTGACAGCCGTAAGGAACACTCCATGAGCACGATGTAGCGTTCTTTTATGTTAAAGCAGATGATACTCATAGTAGTGAGTGTGCTCTTAAAGGTTAAATGTTAAAAGTTTTCCTAATTGGATACTTATCCTGTGTCGTCCTTTTTGATGTTGCATGATTAATGAAGCAG